AAAAAAAAGAATTCCTCCTACCCCCAAAAACAAAAAAATCCCAATCCTGCAATCAGTGAAAGCTTACTTAGCAGTTTCTACCTCCTCTTTGGTGGAAATCTTTAAAAATACCGAGTGGATATGGATAACAAAAGATATCAGATGTATCAAGCTGATACTCCATGCTGAATCTCTGAATCTTCTCTAGCAGCAAGTGAGATATTGAAAAGATAGAAATACTAATGGCTTTCATTCTAGCTCCGTTCTTATTGAGTAGCGAGTGCTCCATTTCCCGACATCGGGCTCTCTCCTGCCACTGCCCTAACCTCCGCCTTAGGAGTGTCTTCTCACCTCAGACATTCTCTTCGGAGAAGCTGCTCTTTGAGGTTAACTCATCCGGCTAATAGGGCGCTAACAATTAGTAGAATTAGGCTCAGATTGTTGCCTGTGCTTTGAAGCAAACGGGGAGACTTTATCCCATGGTTACTCGGTTGAAATCCTAACGATTTTTGTTTGCCGGGAGTATTATTTCCGTGCTTTAATACTGTGTCGTTTCTTATTGTCTTAAATTGCAAATACAAGAAAATACCCTGTTTTTATGTTAAAAATTCGTTTGTGCGAATAAAAAGATGCACGAATATGTTCCCATTAAACGGGAATATCTTCCGGAAGACGTTAACATGTAAGGGACGTGAAAAGTATTTGAATTCCTAGAGTCGGAAATGAAATAGGTCAATCCTATGCTTTGGAGAAAAAAACAAAACAGAATAAAAGTAAAAGGTAACTGGATCATTTATTAATTAATGGGAGAGTTCAAACGGAGTTTTACTGGAAAATACAAATGCTTTCTCCATTACTCACTGTACGATAATACAAAAAGCAGTAGAGACGGTTGTTTCATTTATGTTTTGTGGAATCCCTTAGGGGAAAAATAGGAAGTTTATTTCCTCAACGACATTTTAAAGCAGCTATTCCGGATTATCAATTATTCCTTTTTATTTTTCCTCACATTTTAAGACGATATAATGATAAAATGCATGGTATTTACTACATTGCTGTTGGCTTTGGTTTTGCTTCTTTGCTTTTTAAAGCTGTACTCTTTCCACTAAAATGAAAATTTCACTTTTGTCTTATCACTTCAGTAATAGTTCCCTTAAAATGGCAGCAGAAGTTGTGATTCATGCTGTGGAAGAACCTTGTGCTTGTGCCCAATACTGCCGCATAGGCATGGAAAAAAAAGACTTTTACATGACCTACAGTAGACAGATAAATCCGCAGTTAGCTTTAATCTGTAATTCGAAACAGCGTTGGGATAAGTGCTGGCTGACGAGAAGATCCAAAATACATTGGAATTTCACAGGCTATTCTCAAACGTCCTAGAGGTCACTGAAGTCACTAGCTTGGATGGGGCACGATGTGTCAACTTTAGTACATACCCTTTTAAATATGCGTGGATTTGTGTCTGTTTTCTATCTATACAGAACTTGAAGATGGTGGAAATTTGTACACCCAGAAACATGCAGGCATGCCTATGAGTTTAGCAGTTACAGTCGTATATCACTTATAAGACAAGTGGATGCTTCTCAGTGCAGACGGATAAATAATTAAACACATCCCTCCATACGTTTCAGCCTCAGAATTAAAAAAAAAAAAAAAAAAAAAAAATCATTTGAACATCAATTATTTATACATATCTTTGTTTATCTTCCTCTGACGACGAATTACACAAGGGCTAAGACTAATCAAATCTCGGAAAGATTATTATTATTATTATTTAATTATTGGTGAAAGAAGAGATAAAGGTCTCGTGAGCGTGTTTCAAAATTAATAAAAAGCAAAGACAAGGGGAGCAGCTCTCTGCTGATTATGGTTTCTAGGTGGGATCCTGTTTTTATGTGAGAAAGATGGGGTAATCTTTGGCTACATATTTACTGGCAGCATCCACGAATCAGATAGAGAAGTTACGAGGGTGCCATATTGAGAAGCTTTAGCAATAGTTTCCAGTATCCAGATTACACCGGCGGTATATAAACAGCTCCCAGCCCCTCCACCACTAAGCTCCCCAGAGCACACCTATTCCACCTCGACCAGCAGCTCACGGTTAACAAAAGCTTTCAATTGTTTCTAAGAACTAGAGTTCTCTAATATATTTTAGTCTTACCTGTAGAGTTGACCAAGAGATTTTCCGGCAAAATTCTTCAATCCCTCCTTGCCAGGGGTCAAAATCCTTTGTTTTACCGACTCCATTCCTGCAGTGATGCTCGCTGGATTCTGCTCTGCTCTGGATAGGGCACTGCTACGAGCAACGATGGTTCATATTGGTTTAATCCCTTAACTTTTTCCCATCATTAAATGGCTATCAGTGCAGCTCCGAGTAAAGGGAGAGTGAGAGAAAGCGTGCGCGCGTGTTTGAGAGGGGGAGAGACGGCGTGCAGAGCCTGGGGGGGTGGGGGGGGGTGGAGAGGGCGAGGGAGCGCGCCTGTGTGCGGCAGCGAGAGGGAGGCTGAGCGCTGCAGGCAGCCCCCGGCTTTCCCGGCAGCGCGGAGCTGAGAGGCACGGTCAGAAAGTCTTCTCGGCCCCGTAAGCTTCAGCGGTGGCGGGCTCGGAATGTGCCATACCCGGCTGGGAGGGGATGGAGTGCCCCCCGCGGGAGCGTTGCAGAGGAATCGTGGTTTGGTGCCGGAGGTTTCCCCGTCTGTAGAACGGAGGGGGAGGGGTGCGATTAGCCCCGGTAGGCAGAGAGAAGCGCGCCCGAAGCTCCCAGCGCCCCAGAGCTAAAGCGGTCGGAGGGCTTGGAGCGTCGGTCCCCTTCGCGCTGCTGTCGCCCGCCCACGTACGCAGGTCGCGCCCCAAGGCGGCGGCGAGCGGCACCTCAGCGCATTTCAGCACCGCGGTCAGCGCCGCGTCCCACCTTCTCCGTTCTCTTCAGCACCGCGGACAGCGCCCGGCCCTTGGCAGCCACTGGACGGGGCCTTGGTGCGTCAATGGGGGAGCGTCGCTGAGCCAGTGGTGGGGGGAAAGGACGGGGCCTTCCTGCAGTCAGCCGCACTGCTGGGGCATTTGCTGCAAATCATAGAATCACAGAATGGCCTAGGTTGAAAAGAACCACAATGATCATGTAGTTTCAACCCCCCGGCTATGTGCAGGGTCGCCAAACACTAGACCAGGCTGCCCAGGGCCACATGCAGCCTGGCCTTGAAAGCATCCAGGGGTGGGGCTACAAATAGTATAGCTCTTGCTATAAATAGCATATATATTCTAAGGGGGTATTTATCTCTCGCTGCATATGGACTTCCAGGGCTTATTTCATATCATATTAGCGATCATTTTTCTTTAAATGCTTAATAGTTTAATATCGTTTATGCCCTCTGCATTCGTGTGTTATAATAGGCCCATGTAACATTTAGACCCCTTTGGCAGTATATGTAGTACAGGAATGAGCTTGGCACCTTCAGATAACAGAGTTACTTCCCTTTCCAGGATCTAGCTGCGATTTTCCAACTGTTAGCATTTCACAGTAGATTTTACATACAAAACATTTTATTTCTCTTAAGACTCGTGCTGATCTTAAAGCTCCTGTAGACTTGTTAATTACAAAAACAAACAAAAACTTGTGATCTAAATGATTTCTTCTAAAATTATTGATCTCCTTTGCTTGCTTAGCCAGTGAGAAAACATAAAATGTGGCTTCCTGTTGAAAATGTATGTTGTAGCCACAGTATCCTTAAAGCAACTTCTCTTTGGATTTATATAAACATTTGTTTCTAATGTTGCCCTCTGGTGTTGGGTTAGTGAAGTTTTACAGCAACAGAACATGTTTATAAATGAAAAGCTAATTATTTTAATGCTGTAATTCCCATAATGACTGATCTGTAGAATTCAAATATTTCTTTTAAAAGTTGTAAAAGGAACATGAGATATTACATTAGCAAATAAAACTGCATGTAATTGAAACATTCCTAACTAGCATCACAACACAATGCTGATTTCTATGTTACAGCGTGTACTGAACATGGCTTTTGGCATATGGTTCCATATAGAATCATTATTCCCATTGCACTGCTGAAAGGATATTTCCCTGTACATGCAAGCAGTTATATAAGCAAATCTTCCCAGTGTGCTCTTACAAATGCTCAGTGGAAATGTATATACATAAAGGGATGGCAGGAGCATTTAGTAGAGAAGAAATGAGATTGAATTCCACAAAGAAAGCCTTTATAAAAAGTGATGAGTGCTTTTTTCTTTATTCTTTTTTTTTTTTTTTTTCTTCAGAATTTGAGAAATCTGTAGGGCAAGGGTATTCTGTTTATTTACACACTACAAGCAAGAATTGGCTCTGGCCTTGATTTAGACAGCTCAGAAGTGACATTGTTTCTATAGCTCAATGGAGCAACATGAATTTACATCAAAATCATAGCATTTATTAAGCAAAAACTATCTGATTTTGGAAAGAGAAATAATTTCTCGTACAAGATGAGCATGGATTTAAGGGTTAGATAAGACATTCCTGAGTGTCTTCCAAGAGGAGAGTAAGTTGCACATTAATTGTGTCATATATTCATAATAGCAAACTACTGTGAGATAATGAAAAACTATTGTGAATAGGCTGCTGATGTGAGCATTTAGAGTAGAAATTTTATGTCTATCACATGCTATATGCTGATACTCTTGAGCTACATCCTGACCAAACTCAGCTCTTACTGTTTCAGATTGAGAATTGATAGGAATAGTAGAAAGCTAATGTCAGTAAAGTTATAAATGATGCACAGACTTGTCAGCTTTTTAAGTATTATGTATTAATTTTTTAATCTTAGGAGAGTAAGACATTTTTAGAGAAAACAACTAATACACTAATATGTAACAGTAATGTTATCAGTATTGTTATCAATAATTATTTCTATAATGAATACTTGTCCACATTCTGTTCTCACAAAAAGCCTAATTCCAACTCAGCTGAAATAATCATGAGTTGGCATCAGTACCGGGTGAAATGAAACATGATGGAGAAAATTTTAGCATGGACATCACAGCTAAGTAAGTGTTCACGGATTGGTCAGAAGCAAAGAGAACCAGCCAAAAGCCATTCAGTGAGAAACAGTTCTGAAAAATCTCTAAGAATATTGGAGGAAGATTTCTGTAAATAATCCATTTTTATAGGTTTTTGACTGAGCTATTTTAATAAGTGAATTCACTCAGTTTTTCATATTTAGTTTACATCTTATTCTCAAAATTTTCCACAGCAAACCTCTGAATTGGGTCTAAATATAGTGTAATCCATTTTGAAGACCAGGAAATCAACACAGCAGTTTACATTTCTCTTGCCTAAGATTTAACATTGTTAAAGCAAACTATACCCTCAGCTAAAACATTTAACAGTGATAGAACGATAGAATCACCAAGGTTGGGAAAGACCTCCAAGATCATTCAGTCCGACCATTCACCTATCACCAATACTTCCCCAGTAAAACATGTCTCTTAATACAACACCTAGAAGTTTCTTGAACATCTCTGGGAATGGTGACTCAACCACCTTCCTTCCTTCAGGCAGATGAACACTGCCTGCCAACTTGGTGTCATCTATAAACTTACTGAGGGTGAACTTTAATTCATTTTTTGACCTTACCTTTGCTGCTAGTACACTGACAAATGGATTTGCTCTTTCCCAGGTGTTGTGCACACAGAGGTTACAAATGAATATGCATTCCATGATCCATTTTTAAAAGAAATTCTAGCAGATCTAGTGGTTGGCAATTAAGTGGAGGTTGCAAATGAATGATCTTAAGGTCCCTTCCAACCTATGCCTGTCTATAATTCTGTGTGTTTCTTTAAACCATACAATCACACATATTACTTCTAATAAATTTGTCTTCCTCATGCACAAAAAGATGACAAAATACTGTTTTTAAAAACATGATATCTCCTTTGGAAAAAAAATTTTTGAGTTTAAAATCTTAGTTACGCCATTAAATGCATGCCTGTAAAACCAAGTCATTTTGGACTGAGGATAGCATAAATATGCCTTAAAAATTATGGTTTAACTCTTTTCTTCTATTTATGGTAGCTCTCTATTGAACCCAATGGAAGTTGACGTCACTTTCAGATAAATGTTATTTTTTTAGGGGGGAACATGAAACTTTAAAATCCCAAAGTAAAGCCGAAATAATGACCTTGCTTGTCAGGCTATCAGGAAGGAGGTTTTCACTACAACACTGCAAATACAAGTATTAATTTTTTCTTTTCTTTTCTTCTTCTTCTTTTTTTTTTTTTTTGTGCCCCAAAGAATATGGGCTTGAGCTGAAACATACTAAAGCATGTATGCATGTGGACAGAAAATGCTCATTTACAAGGACTCTTCCCCTTCTTAGAAATAGAAACCTGGAACTTTGGGCCAAGATCACAGGGGCAAATAGAAAACCTAGCATGCTTCTGGACAGAGGACCCACACTGTTCTTATGAGGCACTTGCTATTTCCAGGCTGAATAAGAAGCACTTTTCCTGGAAATCTCTGCACTAATATAGGTGATACATACTGATGATTTGTTACACAGCCAGTGTTTGGAAACCTGCTGCTGCTTTCTGAAAAGATCACAATCATTTACAAATTAAGCAAACAAACAAAATGAACCCCATAACAATGTCTGAAAACCGTACTTTTTGGTAATAGGGAATATCATGTTTTAAACAGACGAGTCCTCGGTGTTGTTTCTCAAGGCGGTGTCTGGTTTTCAGATGATCCAGGGCGTGTTTTCCTTGTGTTCTGCAAGCGCAGTTTTCACCATCGCGTGGAGGCTGCTGCTTCTGCCCCCAAGTGGTAAAAACCACGAGCACATGATGAGTGAATTTTTTTATTTTCTAATAGCATACCGCCTTTCATGTGAAAACAAAGCACCAGCTGGTTAGAAGTTAGCTTATATGACTACTCCATGACATGAAATTTTCCAGTTGTTCTACACTGAGAATTTCCTGTTTTCCTTTTCCCAGTTCTTTTGTTATATTAGCAACAAAACAACCCTCTAAGAGAAATTCAGCCAATAGCAAATGTCTTTTAGACTGCCAAAGCAATTACACTGGTATGTTAAAATCTTTATTTATTTATGATGAGTATCTGCATAGAAGTTCAACAGTACAGAATTCAACAATATAGAAGTATTTATCTTGAAAGTAGATCCGGGTGCTTATCTTTCTTCCAAATAATATAGGAACATCTGCTCCTTTCAATTCCTGTACTTCTTCATGAGTTAAATGCA